GCGTCATGCCCTAGCTGACTCAAAAACATGTGAAATATGGATCCTAGCTCACTTAGAAACTCATTGAGGGTGTTTTTCTTAGTGGGAGCTTGTCATATTGCATCTATTATCTGTGTTAGCATGTGTACTTAGCGACTTGCATGTTTTTTAGTCTGTTTGTTTGTCTTTTTCTGTAGAATATGACTGCTGCAGGTAATCTGGCTAATCTCTCCATCCGATCCATTCTGGATCGGGAGAGACTCACTGGTGGAAACTTTCTCGCATGGTACCGCAACTCACTGGTGGAAACTTTCTCGACTGGTACCGCAACCTGAGAATTGTTCTCAGGCATGAGCGGAAGCTCTACGTGCTGGAAGAAGCCGTTCCTGAGGATGAACCAGCGGCCAATGCGCCCAGGGCTGTCAGAGATGCTTACCATAAACACATCAATGACAACCTGGACGTGACCTGCCTGATGCTCGGATCAATGTCGGCTGAGTTGCAGAAACAACTCGAAGGAACTGATGCCTTCGAGATGATCGAGCATCTCAGGACTATGTTCGAGGAACAGGCGAGGGTCGAACGATTTAACGTCCTTAAGATCCGGCCTCGCTCAGCCATAGTCGGAGTGAGGGCGGAAGAGATGGGGAGACGACGGCGGCGAGGCGACGGTGAGGGGAGAGCGAGGCGGCGGCTAGGGGAGACTGCGGCGGTCGTAGTGGCAGCGGAACACGGTGGCATCGGCGATTGACGAAGTGGAGAAGAGCCGAAAGGGATTCCGGGCTTGAGATTAAAGTGCGGCGACAGCGGTGATGGGGAAGGCGGCAGCGGCGGGACACGGTGGCGGCGGCGAGGGGAAGGCGAAAAAGGGGATGACACGGCCGAGTCCTGCGAAAATGGAATAAAAAGGTGAAAAAAGTGATGACACTGTCCGTGCAGATCGAGCACGGTCCGTGTCGGTGCGTCAAATGAGTTGAACACGGCCGTGTTGAAGTAGAACACGGTTCGTGTGAATTCTCTGTCAAAAGGTCGTGAAAACGAACACGACCGTGTTTAATTCAACACAGGCTGTGCAGATTGTCTGTTGAAATATCTCCAAATCAAGCACGACCGTGTTAAAAGCAACACGGACCGTGCAAAATTTCTTTGAAAATCTAACGCAAATGGACACGGTCGAGTCGTGCTGAATTTCGGCCAAAATTGAGAGATAAAAAGTCCCGTGACCCGTGAGCCCTGAAATAGCCAGAATTGGACCACGAGAGAATAAAAAGAAAAGAAAGATAAAATAAAACTAATATATAATAAGGATACGGGGTCGGGTTGCCTCCCGACAAGCGCTTGTTTTAGGTCGTTAGCTGGACCCGACAAGGATTCACGACTCTGCGGAATCGGAGAGGGCGATGGCTCCTCTCGTGTCCGATGGAAAAGAGGGTTGTAGAGCTTCAGGCGTTGAGCGTTAGTTTTGAATGAACCTCCGGAATGATCCCATAGTTCGATCGCACCACTTGGTGATACGGATTTGATCTTGAACGGACCAAACCACCGCGATTTCAACTTTCCTGGAAAAAGTCGCAATCGTGAGTTAAACAAAAGGACAAGATCGTTTACCTGGAAGTTACGCTGGAGGATATGCTTGTAGTGCCATTTCTTCGTCCACTCTTTGTAGATTTTTGCGTTTTCATACACGTCAAGGCGGATTTCCTCAAGATGATGGAGCGAGAGAACTCGTTTCTCGGCTGCAGATTTGAGGTCGTAGTTCAACTGCTTGATGGCCCAGTAAGCTTTGTGCTCCAATTCCACGGGGAGATTGCACGCCTTGCCGTAGACGAGTTGGAACAGTGTCATCCCGATGGGGGTTTTTGAATGTCGTGCGATACGCCCAAACGGCATCATCGAGCTTGAGGGCCCAATCTTTTCGGGATCTGGATACCGTCTTCTCGAGTATGGACTTGATCTCGCGGTTTGAAACTTCTACTATTCCACTGGTCTGATGGTGATAAGGCGTTGTAATCTTGTGTTTGACACCGTATTTGTGCAGGAGTGCTTTGATCGTGCGATTGATGAAGTGCGATCCCCCATCGCTGATGAGGACACAGGGAACATCGAATCGTGGGAAGATCGTGCGTTTGAGCATGCGCACCACGGTCTTGTTGTCGTTCGTAGGACTTGCCAGGACTTCCACCCATTTGGTCACGTAGTCAACTGCAACCATAATGTACAAATTTCCGCAAGAAGAGGGGAAAGGTCCCATAAAATCTATGCCCCAGACATCAAATGGTTCTACCTCAAGAATATATTGTTGGGGCATTTCATGACGACGAGATATATTATCCGTACGCTGGCAAGCGTCATATGAAGAAACAAACCTGTAGGCCAATAGAAACCGGCCTGAAGGATTTTTGCTGCAGTTTTGATGTCGCAAAGTGGTACACTGAAAATCTCACCTTCAGGAATGCAACGGTGGAATAGACCGTCGATTCCTCTCTTGAAGAGGAAAGGATCGTCCCAGAAATAGTTCCTGACATCGTGGAGAAATTTCTTCCTGGCATTGTAACTTAGATTTGGTGGAAGAATTGTACTTACCAGGTAATTGACGTAATCAGCATACCACGGGGCCTCTGGAAGAGTAGAGATGGCGAAGACGTGCTCATCGCGAAGATTGTCATCAATGGGAAGTTGCTCGGGAAGTTCAAGGCGTGACAGGTGATCAGCTACTCCGTTCTCGGCTCCTTTCTTGTCCCGGATCTCAAGGTCGAACTCTTGAAGAAACAATATCCAACGGATGAGGCGCGATTTAGCATCCTTCTTGGAGAGGAAGTATCGCAGGGCGGCGTGATCGGTGTAGACTATGACTTTGGAACCGACAAGGTAGGACCTGAATTTTTCAAATGCAAAGACAACATCAAGCAGTTCTTTCTCAGTCGTACTGTAGTTTACCTGAGCATCATCCAAAGTTCTGCTGGCATAGTAGATCGCATGAAGAACTTTATTTCGGCGTTGTCCAAGTACGATTCCTACTGCATAATCGCTGGCGTCACACATAATTTCGAAAGGTAGATCCCAATCTGGCGGTTGAATGATGGGCGGGGAAATCAACGCCTTTTTGAGCGTTTCAAAAGTTGCAAGGCAATCATTAGTGAAAACAAAAGGCACATCCTTACAGAGGAGATCGGTGAGGGGTTTGGTGATTTTGGAGAAATCCTTGATGAAGCGATGATAGAAACCGGCGTGACCAAAGAAACTGCGGATGACTTTAACATTGTGCGGGGGCGGTAATTTCTCAATCACCTCGATTTTTGCCCTATCAACCTCGATGCCTTTGTCGGAGATCTTGTGTCCGAGGACGATGCCTTCCTGTACCATGAAGTGGCACTTCTCCCAATTGAGCACTAGATTGGCCTGCAAACATCTATCCAGAACTTTACGCAGATTAGTCAGACAAACATCGAAGGAAGTTCCATGGACAGAGAAATCATCCATGAACACTTCCATCGAATCTTCAACAATGTCAGAGAAGATCGCCATCATGCATCGTTGAAAAGTAGGAGGGGCGTTTGATGAGGACATCACATCGGACGTGGAGCTTGGAGGAACATCGGACGTAGAGCTTGGAGCAGCTTCGAATGAGGAGCATGGACATGACGCGGAGCTGCGGAGCAAGGAGTTAAACAAGGAGTCCGAAGAACTGAAGAATGACGGCGCCCGTAAACCGAAGTCCACAATTCCGGTTCGCTTGGATCCGCCCGTCACTCGATCCAAGACACGGGTTATGCGACAACAATTCAACACGTTTGTCTCCCATGCCATAAGCGAACTCACACTCGGACGCGCGTGCTCATTCCTAGACGACGCAGCCTCAACCCGTAACATTCTTGTGTGTGGAGACATCGTTGCTTCGGAGCCAAGCTAACTCAAGGGAAGCTTCTTTTGCAGCAAGCAATCTCCAACAGCTATATTAGAAGTCAACTACTTGCATTAAACTCTAGCCTTGCATGTTAAGATGTATTTAATGCATTAGTTGTTAGATTTTTGTTAAGTATGAGAACACTTTCCTTTGTAATCAGATTTCTTTTGGCAAAAATTGAGTTTTAAACTTTGCTTTCCTCCACCTTGGTGTCGAGTGTCTCACTTGGTCCGTCCAAGTCACGGTTTGTCCGAGCAACTCGGTTCGTCCGAGTCCCGTTGGTTCGTCCGACGTTTCTGTCTTGGTTTGTCCGAGACCGACCGATTGGTTAGTCCATAGTGTAGAAATTTGCGGAATGATTTCTTTATTCATAATCAGAATAACATATAAATAGATGAGAGTCTTACATGGAATAAATAAACTAAATAAAATAATGAGTGCCCCCTTCGGCCAGTGATCTCCCGTCGTTGCTACTCTATCTCGATCACCACGGGTCTCACACTCCTAGGGCGTGTATCATTTTTGGTATCAGAGCTGTTCGCTCCAACGGACGTTCGAAACCCCGGGTGAGATCGTTCCTTCTCTATCACTTTCGTTGTTAATCGATTTCTTTCAAACCCTTCAACTTCCATCTGCGATTTCTGTACCAGATTGCACAGCAACGTTTTGAATTCTTTAAGGGCTGATTACGTGTTGTTTTGGCAGTTCGAAACTCCCCCGAAGATCGCACGAACGCTGCTGCACAACGCCTCCAACGTCGGCCTTGGAAAGCTCTCGGTGACATCTTTCCTTGATAGCGATTTTGGACTCTGTTTCGTTTCAGATTCTATCCCGCCCCTGCACGTCTACATTTATTTGTGTTCCTTGCCCAGAAAACGGACTTAAACCTTTCGGAACTCAAACAGATTGGGTGATGTTTGATTCAACGGTCGCGTGCACCATCGCAAGGCGGTTGCTTCCGAGCATTTGATTGTTGTGTGTAAATCCCTGTTCAAAACACGTCGGCACTGCTCGTATATTGCTGTCTATTTGCGTGATTGATAGCCTTGAGTACAAAACTATTTAGTTATGTTCGTATTAGGACAGTTTCGCACGTTCGTTTGCTTGAACGATTGCTCGAACCCCGACCTTGTTGAGTGACATTGCACGTTTCGTTTTGTCTGATCGTGTTTGAGTTAGAGCGGCACGTATATTTTATTCTTGGTACGTTTAGGATCTGTAGTACAAGTAATTGTTGCACGTTGCGTGTTGGTTGCTGTTTGCAAGAGAGTTGAGCGAAATGAGTGCGCACGAGGTTTCTACCGAGGGAGCCAACATAGAGTCTAGTAACGGTGCTCTATTTAGATCGATACAGCAGATCATGGACAGATTAGCACGTCTAGAGGAGAATAGGCCCCCTGCACAACCTGAACCCAACCGTAGAGAACCCCTAGATCGTCCTACACCCCATAGAGCTCGCACCCTGAGTCGCTAAGCGATGATGAGAGCGACATAGGACAGCAACGTAGACCGAGAGTCGTTGTGGAGGCGACCGACGTCGAAAGGAACCATAGACGTAGAGTCCCTAGGCCGAGAGAGAGGGTAGTTGAGGAGATTCCCCATCGGGATCACCCTCCAAGGCGAAGAGGCTATAGGCCGCGGGCTCGAGTATCGGACGAGGAGTCAGAATACGATGATCCACCGCTTAGACCCCATAGAGCACGTGAGAGGATTCATGTTGGGTCGGACTCTAGTGAGGCACCAAGGCGTAGGGATAACCCTCGCCCTAGGGCTAGACCACATAGGTGGGCTGATGTTGCCGAGGAAGAAGAAGAACGTGAATACCGGCAACCTAGGGGACAAGGGGCTGATCTTAAGCTCAAGCCTCCTTTGTTCATAGGAAAAGTAGATCCCGAGGCCTACTTAGATTGGGAGCGTCGCATGGATAACATTTTCGAATGTTACTCTTATTCGGACCGTCGGAAGGTCCACTACGCGGCTGCTCAACTAGCCGAGAGTGCGTTAGCATGGTGGGATCGTGAGGTTAGTGAGAGACGATGCGCTCACATAGAGCCGATCGGAACGTGGCCGGAAATGAAAGCCCTCATGCGTAAGCGTTATGTTCCCCCTCACTTCCATCGAGAACTCCAACGCCGATATAGGCGAATAGCGCAAGGTGCTAAGTCGGTAGAGGAATTCTTTGAGGAATTTGAGCACCTAAGGAGTCGGTTGGAACTAGAAGAGGATGAGGAAGCGGTGATGGCCCAGTTTCTCGACGGACTTAACGAGCGCATTGCTCGGAAAGTCTAGCGCCATCTTTACCGCGACCTTCATGAGTTGCTACACCTTGCCGTGCAAGTAGAAAAACAGAATCTGCGTAAGCAAACACGGCTTAGCAAACTCAAGCCTACGCCTAGCCCGTCCTCCCCCTCACCTAAACCTTCGGCCCCGCCCCGAAAAGAAATGTCCGAGAGCCGAGGCGTTCGTGTCTTCCGAGACAAAGGAAAGCCTTCCGAAGTGTCACAACCTAAGAGCGTTCATGACACACCTCCCGATACTCGGGGCTAGAGAGATAGTATGCTATAAGTGCCGAGGTAGGGGACACATGGCTCGTGACTGTCCTAACTCCTGAGTAATGGTTATCACAGAGAAGGGAGAATACGAGTCGTTAGACGAAGAGGACGCGAGAGATCTCGAAGAGGAAATCGAGTATCCCGATAGCGGCGAACTCTTGGTAACCCGACGAGTTCTTAGCGCTATGGTTGATCCGGACGAGACTGCACAGCGAGAGACGATATTCCATACTCGGTGCACCGTCCTTGGAAAAGTTTGCGGGCTGATCATAGACAGCGGGTCATGCACTAATGTGGCGAGCGCCTACATGGTGAAAAAACTCGGTCTAACGCCCGAAAAGCACCCACACCCCTATAAGCTTCAATGGTTGAACAACCAAGGGGAGATAAGGGTCAATGAGCGGGTCAATATTCCCTTTAGCATAGGACGATACCACGATGAGGTCGTGTGTGACGTCGTTCCCATGCAAGCGGGACATGTGCTTCTAGGGCGGCCATGGCAATTCGATCGTGAGGTTAAGCACGATGGTCGGGCCAACCAATACTCACTCATACACAACAAGAAGAAGGTTGTGTTGGCACCCCTCACGCCATCTCAAGTTCATGAGATGCAGATGCGACTCGCTAAAGAAACTGAGGTAAAGAAAGGAAACTTCTACCTACGAACGAGTCAAGTCGAGAAGGCGTTGAGACAAGACTCTCCTTCGGTGATTTTGATGGTCTTTAAAGACCAAATCACACTCCGAACTGATCCCTCTCACGAGAGTCCAGCCATATCACGGCTTCTTGATCAGTTCCGGGATGTTTTTCCCGAGGATATCCCCGCCGGACTCCCTCCTATCCGCGGTATTGAACACCAAATCGATTTAGTACCCGGTGCGCGCTACCTAACCGCCCAGCCTACCGTATGAACCCCAAGGAAACAAAAGAGCTCGAGAAGCAGGTTCGAGAGCTGATGGATAAGAGGTACATTAGTGAGAGTTTGAGTCCATGCGCTGTTCCGGTACTTCTAGTACCGAAGAAAGACGGGACATGGCAGATGTGCGTAGACTGCGGTGCAATAAACAACATCACGATCAAGTATCGCCATCCAATTTCCCGCCTTGATGATATGCTCGACGAGCTTAGTGGAGCCACGATCTTCTCAAAGATCGAATTGAAAAGTGGCTATCATCAAGTCCGAATGAAAGAAGGCGACGAATGGAAAACCGCCTACAAGACGAAACAAGGACTCTATGAGTGGCTTGTGATGCCTTTCGGGCTCACTAACGCCCCGAGTACCTTCATGAGGCTCATGAATCACATTTTGAGAGCCTTCATTGGAAAATTCGTGGTCGTGTACTTTGACGACATCCTCGTATACAGTCGAACCGAGGAGGACCACGTGACTCACTTGGAACGAGTCCTAAACACTTTGCGGAAAGAGAGCCTTTACGCCAATTTGAAGAAATGCTCGTTCTGCACCAACGAGATTGTCTTCCTAGGCTTCGTGGTTAGTTCTCGTGGGCTTAGGGTCGATGAGGAAAAGATCAAAGCCATAACGGAATGGCCGACCCCTACCACTGTTGGACACGTGCGTAGTTTCCACGGCTTAGCTAGCTTTTACCGTCGTTTCGTGCGGGACTTTAGTAGCATAGCCGCTCCCCTTACTGCGGTCATCAAGAAGGACGTACCCTTCGAGTGGGGAGATACACAAGAGCGCGCCTTTGCTGCGCTCAAGGACAGCCTTACACATGCTCCCGTCTTGGTTCTCCCAAACTTTGACAAGACATTTGAGGTCGAGTGCGACGCATCCAGGATTGGCATAGGACCCGTCCTTATGCAAGAAAAGAAACCCGTAGCTTCCTTTAGTGAAAATCTAAGCGGGGCTGCGCTCAATTACCCAACTTATGACAAGGAGCTATATGCACTTGTACGAGCTCTAGAGACTTGGCTACATTACTTGTTGGCCAAGGAATTCGTAGTGCATTCGGATCATGAGACGCTAAAGCATCTCAAGGGCCAAACCACTCTTAAGCGTCGGCACGCTAAGTGGTTAGAGTTTATTGAAACATTCCCGTACATTATCAAGTACAAGAAAGGAAAGGAGAATATCGTGGCCGATGCTTTGTCTCGCCGGCACACATTGATCTCGGTCATGGAGACGAGATTGTTCGGCTTTGAGCACGTGAAAGCACGGTATGAGGACGACCGTGACTTCGGAACCCTCGTAGAAGAATGTAAGAAAGGTGGCTTCGGTCCCTATTACTTGCACGATGGGTATCTGTTCCGAGATAGACGTCTATGTATCCCTCAAGGATCTTTACGGGATGTCATACTTCGAGAAGCTCATGGAGGAGCTCTCGCTGGTCACTTCGGAGTAGACAAGACGTTGGCCACTGTACAAGAGCATTTCTTTTGGCCACATCTTAAGCGAGATGTACGGAGGTTTTGCGCCAAATGCGTCGAATGCCATCGAGCAAAATCGAAGGTGCAGCCTCACGGACTGTACATGCCACTACCGATCCCTACGCAGCCTTGGGTCGACATATCCATGGACTTCGTTCTTGGACTACCCAAGATCCAACACAAGGATTCTATCTTTGTCATTGTTGATCGGTTTTCAAAGATGGCTCATTTCGTGCCATGTGCCAAGACGGACGATGCTAAAAACATCGCCAATCTATTCTTTCGAGAGAGTCCGTCTTCACGGCATACCGAGGACTATAGTGTCGGATTGGGATTCGAAATTCCTCAGCCATTTTTGGCGGACACTTTGGAAAAAGATTGGCACGAAACTCGTCGTTTCGACGACTTGTCATCCGCAAACGGATGGACAGACCGAGGTGGTCAATTGGACGTTATCCACTCTTTTGCGGGCCACCATCGGGAAGACATTAGGGAATTGGGTTGAGTGCATACCTCATATTGAGTTCGCTTATAACCGAGCGATACATTCGGCATCTAAGCACTCCCCGTTTGAGATCGTGTACGGATTTAATCCGATTACACCGCTTGATCTCATTGCCCTACCCGACCACGAGATTCTCAATCTCGATGGAGAGAAAAAGGCCGAGTTCGTTAAGCAGTTGCATCAACGCGTCCGCGATAATATTGCTAAGCGAACCGAGTCTTACGCAAAGCATGCCAACAAGGGCCGGAAGACGATGACATTCAAGGAGGGTGACTGGGTTTGGCTACACTTTCGACCCGAGCGTTTCCCGGATAAACGCAAGTCCAAGTTATCCCCTAGAGGCGATGGGCCATTTCGGATTAGTGAGAAAATTAACGATAACGCCTATCGTCTTGAGCTGCCCGATGAGTATAATGTTTCCGATTCCTTTAACGTGGCTGATCTATGCCCTTTTGACGCAGGTACAAACATTTCGAGGACGAAATCTTTTCAAGAGGGAGGAAATGATGAGGACATCACATCGGACGTGGAGCTTGGAGGAACATCGGACGTAGAGCTTGGAGCAGCTTCGGATGAGGAGCATGGACATGACGCGGAGCTGTGGAGCAAGGAGCTAAACAAGGAGTCCGAAGAACCGAAGAATGATGCCGCCCGTAAACCGAAGTCCACAATTTCGGTTCGCTTGGATCCGCCCGTGACTCGATCCAAGACACGGGTTATGCGACAACAATTCAACACGTTTGTCTCCCGTGCCATAAGCGAACTCGCACTCGGACGCGCGTGCTCATTCCCGGACGACACAGCCTCAACCCGTAACATTCTTGTGTGCGGAGACATCGTTGCTTCGGAGCCAAGCTAACTCAAGGGAAGCTTCTTCTGCAGCAAGCAATCTCCAACAGCTATATTAGAAGTCAACTACTTGCATTAAACTCTAGCCTTGCATGTTAAGATGTATTTAATGCATTAGTTGTTAGATTTTTGTTTAAGTATGAGAACGCTTTCCTTTGTAATCAGATTTTTTTGGCAGAATTGAGTTTTAACTTTGTTTTCCTCCACCTTGGTGTCGAGTGTCTCACTTGGTCCGCCCAAGTCATGGTTTTTCCGAGCAACTCGGTTCGTCCGAGTCCCGTTGGTTCGTCCGACGTTTCTGACTTGGTTCGTCCGAGACCGACCGATTGGTTAGTCCATAGTGTAGAAATTTGCGGAATGATTTCTTTATTCATAATCAGAATAACATATAAATAGATGAGAGTCTTACATGGAATAAATAAACTAAATAAAATAATAAATATTTCTAAATATATATTTTTCGGATTTGATAAGATTGATATATCTCGTAATATAAGTGCCCCCTTCGGCCAGTGATCTCCCGTCGTTGCTGCTCTATCTCGATCGCCACGGCTCTCACACTCCTAGGGCGTGTATCAGCTTGCAAAGCCCAAATGGCATACGCCGATAAGCGAAGGTCCCGTAGAGGCAAGTGAAAGTTGTCTTCTCCTGATCATTAGGGTGAATAGGGATTTGAAAGAATCCCGAGTAGCCGTCAAGAAAACAAAAATAGGAATGAAGAGCAAGACGTTTAAGCATTTGATCAATGAAAGGTAAAGGGAAATGATCTTTGCGAGTGTTCGCATTTAGCTTCCTGTAATCGATGCACATACGCCAGCCCGTCACTGTTCTTGTCGGAATCAGCTCATTTTTGTCATTTTTTATCACTGTCATACCGCCTTTCTTTAGGACGACTTGAACCGGACTTACCCAAGGGCTGTCGAATATAGGGTAAATGATACCTGCATCCAAAAGTTTTAGTACCTCTTTCTTGACGACTTCCTTCATCGATGGATTGAGTCTGTGTTGATGTTTGATGGATGATTTGGAATCGTCCTCCAGATGAATTCGATGCATGCACAATGAAGGGTTGAGACCTTTGATATCATCTAGAGTGTACCCGATGGCTTTTCGGTAGTCTCGCAATGTGGTGAGGAGACGCTCGAGCTGTAGATCATCCAAGGCAGCATTGACAATAACAGGATAAGTGGAATCGAGACCGAGAAATGTATACCTGAGTCCTATGGGCAAGGGTTTTAGCTCGAGCTTCGGAGCGACTACAGGATCCCAGTCAGGTAGATGATTCATGGAGGTTGATTTGGCGGCGAAGACGGGCAAAGATTCGAACAGAGGAACAGGCTGGAAATGAGTCCGAGAATCGACACGGTCCGAGTTCATACTCGACACGGCCATGTCGAGTTGTGCACGGGCTGGCCCGAAATGATGCACGGTCGTGTCTGTTTTCGCACATTTACTCAGACAATTGACACGGTTCGTGTCGAATGACGACACGACCGTGTTGCATGAAACACGGTCTGAGTTGGTGTCAAACACGGGCGTGTCACGTTCGATGTTTTTCGGCAGAATATCGACACGGTCTGTGTTTGTATTCGACAATGCCGTATTGCCTGGCATTCTGTCTAAACCGTCTAGGAATGACGTGTACGCGTGAATTTGAGGCTCCGTAAAGGTACTGCAACCCTGTTCAGCAAAAAGAGCAATAGATAGGGCATCAAATCACGAAATTCAAAGAGTACCTCATCGGCTAAAGCATCCATCAAGTCGATATAACATATAGAGTCCACTGTAGATGGTTGCTTGAAATTCTGTTCGAGCGTGAATTTCACCGTTTCGTCACCGATCTTGGGTGTCAGTCGGCCGACACGAACGTGGACAATGACATCTGCAGTGTTTAAGAACGGCCGCCCTAGAATAATCGGGATTTTGGAGTCTTCGTCCATGTCAAGCACAACGAAATCGACCGGTACGTAGTAATCGCCGACTTTCAGCGGGACGTCCTCGAGAATACCCAGAGGATATTTGACAGAACGATCAGCTAGTTGAAGAGCCATGTGAGTCGGTTTGAGTTCTCCCACGTTGAGTTTCTTGTAGATGGAGAGTGGTAGGAGATTTACACTGCACCTAAATCACAAAGAGCACGATCTATAGAAACATTTCCCAATTTACAAGGAATCGAGAAGCTACCTGGATCCGACATCTTCGGTGGTAGATCGTGCTGAAGAATGGCGCTGCATTTGGGATTAAGCGTGATGGTTTCCTTCTCGATGACGCACTTCTTTGTGAGAATGTCCTTCAGGAATTTGGCATAGGATGGCATCTGAGTGATAACCTCGTGAAATGGCATAGTGATTTCCAACTTACGCACCATGTCAGCAAATCGAACAAATTGGGTGTCTTCTTTAGTTTTCTTGAGTCGTTGAGGGAAAGGAACCGAAGGCGGACGTGGTGGCGGTGGAATGTCGTCGCGTTCTTCAGCACCCGAGATCTTTGTCGATTTTTCAGCCGCTATGGGGTCAGGAAAAGATGTAGGAACAGAGTTAGAGCACTGACCTTTTTCCGTAGATGTGATGATAGGGTTAGCGAGCTCTTTGCCACTGCGCAAGGATACAACGTTACAGTGCTCTCGGGGGTTTGCTTCCGGGTTCCCGGGAAGTGATCTCTGAGGTCGCGAAGGGACAGAGGCAGCGAGTTGCGCTATCTGGTTATCAACTAGCTTGAGTTGGGCGTCGGTCTTCTGCTGATGTTCTCACATCTCGGTGCAAATGGCTTCTTGACCCTGCATAAGTTGTGCAAGCATAGATTTGATGTCAGGGTCAGGCCGAAGTTTGAGATGGAGGCAGACCGAAGTTTGAGATGGAGGCTGACGGGGAGCTCGGTAGTGTTGAGGGGCTGGGTTCTGATGCTGGTAGGCATTTCGGGGTTGAGATTGATTTCCTTGAGAGGAGCCCGGGATAGATGAACCACCGAAATTGTTGTGTTGTGCATTTAGAGCGTTGGAGGAGTTCTTGTATGAGAAATTTGGATGATTCCTCCAACCCGGATTGTATGTGTTCGGGTACGGATTGTTGGCGACGTAGCTGACATCTTCATGCACGTACTCGTCTCGTGATGCATCCAGATCAGTGATTTGATGGACGTTTTCTACCTGCATTCTAAGTTTGGCCAGCTCTGCACATAAAGCATGTATTTCAGATGGACTTTCCTTACCTGCACGGTTGTCCTTAAAACCAATATTTCTGACGAATTCGTGGGAAGGAGCACACTCGTTAGCCATCTTAGTGATTTGTTGTTCGATGAAGTCAAAAGACTTCTCATTGAGGCTTCCTCCACAGGCAACTCGAATGAGGACTCGAGTATCTTCCTTTAGACCCTGCAAGAAAGTGGAGATAAGGTACCTCTTGATGAGGACATGGAGACCGGACGCACGGACAAAAAGTTGGAACGCACGGAACGGGAGCAAGATAGCTTGGAGTGCACGGAGCGGGAGCGGGATAGCTTGGAACGCAAGGAGCTGCCTAATGCCGAGCATATCTTCAATAGTGATGGGGAACTTCTAGTTGAGCCAAGGCCAAGGCATACACGCCCAAACCACAGGCCCGATCCACCCCTTACTCGAGCCAAAGCGCGTGCCCTTCGCGAACGCATCACCTTGTTCGTCTCCGACATGCTGGACGAACTTCATTCCAAGGACATGAGCCCAGCCCATCTTGGAGGAGCCCATACACGCCACTTAGTGAAGATTTCGGTCCATGATTTTGCTGAAGAAACACATTAGATTATGTCATTTTCCAACAGCTATATTGTGTACTTAAGAGAGCATTAATTACCTAGCTTGCATGCTTATCTAGCTTTGAATGCTAAGAGCTGTTGGAAATGTTTGAGATTACTATTTATCCTTGTAAGTTTTCAGAACTCATGACCTAAGAAATCTATTGCCATTTTCGAGCTTAAGCTTGCTGTGTTTGTTGAGTTGTAATCTCCAAACCGTTATCCCCGTTGGTGTGTCCGACGAAGGGCTTCGGTGTGTCCGAGCCAGCTTTCGGTTTGTCCGAAAACCTTTCCTCCTTATTTCCATCTCACCCACTGAATCTTAGCTTGAATTCGAGTGCCTCACAAGGCCGGCGATTGAGCTAACGTTCCCATCCCACTCCATCCAACATCCTTAGCCGAAACACGTGAGTTCGAGTGCCAATACTTGTGCCGGTGATTGCGTTGTTCGGGCAAGCTTATATCCACGAGTTCGAGGCTTACATCACCTCTTGTCAAATCCGTGATGAGGGCAGAGGTGTTGGTATCCAAGAAAACGATCCCAAGTCTCGCGCAAAGATTCATCAGGTTCCTGCATAAAAGAGTTGATCTGTTGCTTTGCGAGCTAGGTTTTGCTAGCAGGGAAAAATCGCTGCATGAACTTCTCTTGCATCTAATCCCAAGAGAAAATGGAATCTGGTGGCAGTGTGTAGAGCCATTCTAATGCAGCGTCCATTAGAGAGAATGGAAAAGCCATTAGCATAAGTGACTCATCGGTGACTCCTTGAACCGTCTTCACAGACTGGCATAGCAGTTTGAATCGAGTCAGATGGGGAATTGGATCTTCATTAGGTCTGCCCCTAAATGCCGATGAGCTGAGCATACTGATGAATGCCGGCTGGAATTCAAATTTATTGCGATCGATATCGGGCCGGCGAATGCATGAGATGTTGAGTGTACTTGGGCTGAAGATATGCCCCATAAGTGTCATTGTCATTCTCGACAGCTAAAGCACGTTCCTCCATCTTCTTCTGTTGTTTCTTCTTCTTCTGAATGCGTTTGGCAGATTTCTCGATTTCTGGATCAAAAGGGACTAGGTTGTCAGGCCCAGAACTCCTGGTCATACACCGGGAAAACCTACACACCAGAAAAATAGGACAAAGAACTAGAATAGATCAGGAACGGGATAAAAGTAAACGAGAAAGGATCTAGATTCAAAGGAATCTCTATCCTAGCGCTAAACTATTCCCCGGCAACGGCGCCAAAAACTTGATCACGCAAATCTAGGTATAGAAATAAGCTCAAGTAATAAAAACCTAGATACAACGAATACCGCAAGGATACGGATCAACTGTAGTACCAGGGTCGAACGCAGGGAATAGTTAACACTAAGAACAACACTCGACTAAGATTCAGATCAGCAAATAGCAGATGAAATAGATGAATATCGAAAATAAAGCGATAAATAAACTAAGTAAATCAGATAACTAAACCACTGTAGCTTCGGGATAACCTTAATGCGCAGGGATCGTTTCTAAGGATGGAGAATCTACGAATATCGAACTCTAATCGGTGATCTCAAGTTCTAATATCAGATTTGACTTTCTCAAGTCCTAAATCCACTTTCCAATAATTTAACCTATCGATCTCTCAACCTAATAGATTAAAATATCAAACGCATTAACGATCACTATCACAGTTCCTAAACCGATTAACCTATCTTTCAATAGTCTTAATCAATTCATTCAATGAATTCGTTCCGAATCTAATCTCAACTCTCATTGCAAATCAGAATCTAAAATCAATCAATCAACTGGCGAAGAAGATCAAAAGCAATAAACTCAATTCAATTAAACCGAAGAGTATCCATAACGTAGTCTCAGAAAAAAAAACCAAACAAATCTCTACAAGGTTGAATCCCTAGCTACAGTGAAACAACTACTCACTACCCATAACAAAAAACGAGTTCAAATCAATAAGAAGAAACATAGAAACAGATAAAGAAGACTTGCAGCTATCTCTCGACGACGATTCTTCAATCTCTGCCCCCGGAAAACTCCGTCTTGATTCTCTCTCAAGTTCTCTGGCTTCTCCTGTGATCTCTCGATGATTTCTGAATCCGAAGACATCCTCTATTTATTTCTTTGGCGGCTAGGCTTCTTTCCATTCCGTAAACGGAAGTTCGGATGCAAAAATAGGAAGTTTTCTCGAAACGTAACACGGCCGTCTTGAATGGCAACATGGTCCGTGTCAATTATCTGACCAAAACTTCTGCGCTTCTGCACGGGCTGGACATGGGCGAGTTGCGGATCGACACGGCCGTGTTTGACGTCGACACGGTTCGGGTCAATTGTCTGTAAGAATTTCTTCGTTTCCTTGCCTTTGCACGACCGTGTTTGAACTCGACATGGCCGTGTTCAAGTGCAACTCGAGCTAGAAGTGTCTTTATCGTTCTGTTCCGGTCCAATATGCTCCGAAGTCCTCGATTATGTTCCTCTGGTGTCCATAATGCGTCTATTACCTGTCCAATCACCAAAGAATGCAGAGGAAGCAAAAACCAGTGCTGAATTGATCCTAAAGGTCTAATAACGCATAAAACTGAGGCGAAACCGCTGGACAATGGACTTTGAAATAGAGGATAAAATCGTGTTATCAGCTATCAGTTGGAAGAGTTCCAAACAGCCAACCGTGGCAGATTTGACTACAGAAGCCGAGTACATAGCAGCATCGGGTGCAACTAAGGAAGCTGTTTGGATCAGAAAATTCGTGTGAGACCTGGGCGTTATTCCTAGCATTGCAGATCCCATTGAGTTGTACTGTGACAACAATGGTGCGATTGCGCAAGCTAAGGAACCCCGGTCACACCAGAGATCCAAACACATACTCAGGCGATTACACTTGATTAGAGAAATCATCGACAGAGGAGACGTGAAGATAAGCAGAGTGTCGACAGATGATAATATTGCCGACCCATTGACGAAACCTCTCCCTTCGTCAAAGCATGATGGTCATGTTAAGGGTATGGGGATTAGATGCTTGTAGGATAGATCATAGAGCATAGTGGGAGATTGTTGGTTGTAATGCTCTAGGATGATCCGTGATATGACATTTGACTTTGTATTGATTCATTGATTCATGAATGCATTATTTTCCCGTTATACGATTGGCATGTTTGTTGTATTTCGGCATCCTTGAATCATTAAAGAATGATTCTAAATTCCCTAGTCAGTCATCATCGACTTCTCCAACGGCGACGATGACGGCGCCTTTCACGACGTTAACGACATTGTGGGAACAATGATGAATTAAGACTAGCATGAGGTGTGATCAATGCATTGGATGCAGATCACAATCATGGGTACTCGTTGTGAACGAGTGACTGGATGACCCGCATGAGATTGTCACATGGGCAGAGTCATGACTTGAATCTCAAACAGCAGTTCGTTCCTGGATCCTCATACCTGAGATGTCTAGAGTATCTGATAAGAGGAGTGGCGTGTCTTGACTGCGTCAAACGTCGTCTTTAATCGGATGATTATAACGGTGTTGATCAGATACGTTCACGAATCATATGGAGATAGTAGACATGCAATATGGGACTTGTCACCTCCTTAATAGGAGAGATATCGTTGGGCTCTCTCGTGGAAGTCGTATTATGAAAATGTGTGGCCACACTATAGATGAAGTTGCATCTATTTTATTAGTCGATTTGCCAAGACGAGAAAGCAGTTGAACTTGAAGGGTGGCTCAAACCATGCCCTTGTTCAACTTATGATATCGTGAGACAAAGGATCAGAATTTGAGCTGTTAATGCCCTGGTTGGATCACCTCTAACTCAATTCTAAGTGGGTGGTCATGGCGTCTTGCTAGAGGCTAACCATGACTTGTGGTTTCAGAAAAGGTTCCTAAAGTCACTACCACTTAGAATGGGCCTACAGAGTCACACACCACTAGGGATGGACTTATACGTGAAGAATCCGAAGAATGGAAACGAGAGTTGACCGAAACGAGGAGTTGGTCAGCCCTGGACCAAGTTGGTCAGCTCAGGCGGTCCGGAAGTTAGTCAGGAGGTCATCTGTCCAGGTCTGGTCCGGCTGACCAAGAGTTTGTCAGCCCCGGTCAGGCGGACTGAGGAGTTGGCACATCGGATTGAACTGACCAAGAAGGGTCTTGGTCCGGAGCTGACCACGTATGGTCCGCCGGACCAAACCTTCAGGTCAGGCGGTCCGCGACCTCGGAACTCGTAGATACCCCAACAGTTTCTTGGGTCACGTTGTATCAGCCCAAGGAATCCATGTGGACCCAGCTAAGATTGAGGCAGTTATGGATTGGAAACCCCCAACCTCTGCTACGGAAGTTAGGAGTTTTCTCGGGCTTGCAGGTTATTACAGAAGATTTGTGGAGTGTTTTGCCAAGATAGCTCGACCTATGACGAAGTTGACGGGGAAGAATGTCAGGTTTGAGTGGACTGCTGAATGCGATGCTAGTTTTCGGGAATTGAAACAACAATTGATCTCAGCACCTATTCTAGGATTAGCACAACCGAGTGTATTATATGAAGTTTACACGATGCGTCCAAGCAGGGATTCGGTTGTGTGTTGATGCAGGAGAGACATGTAATCACCTACGCGTCAAGACAGCTGAAGAAACATGAGGAAAACTACCCAACGCATGATATGGAGTTAGCAGCGGTAGTTCATGCTATGAAAATCTGGAGGTCGTATCTGTATGGTGAAAAGGTTAAGCTCAACACGAATCACAAAAGCTTGACCTATGTCATAT